TTTGAGGATGTCTATTCTGTGACACATTAATACTCTGAAGTCTATCTTCTATTGAATTAGATTAAATCATCAGAGAACTTTGTATTTAGACCCAATTTGCTGAAACTCTTGTGAATTATGTGTTATATTATACATATGGCTTTATACATGGTTTGCTTAAAAAAGTAAAATAAAAATTCCCTTTGCTTATATTATTGAAAACTAAGCGTATTATATGACTATATTCTTTATGTTAAGCGCAGTATGAGAAATATCCTATAGTGTTTGAGGGCATGAAAAAGCTTATTTCCTTTTTGATAAAGAATACTTTTCTATCTTTTAGGTAATAAAAGAGGTGTAATTTATTTATTTATTTACCTTAACTGCCTGAAAGCACAGAGACAAATTTAAATGTTTTTTGTAACAGTTACAAGCCCTGAACTCCTATCATATGATTTTTTTCATCATATGATTTTACAAATAAAGTTTTATTAAAACAGAGATGTGGTTGGTTGTTTATGTATTGTCTGTGACTGCTTCAGTGTTACAAAGTGAGACTTGAATAAACAGTAGTCACTTTCTGATCATTTACAGAAAAAGGTTTTTAATCCTAGTGTAAATGATGGTTGCATGATGGTGGGTGTCGGACCAAATGCAGTAACACTGGAGGAATATAAATAAAGCAAGATGAATACTATTAGTTGTGGCTGTTGGGCAAAGCTTAACAGGGAAGTGTTATGAAAGGAATTTAAATAGTGGGAGCATGTAGAGAAAGACATTTTACGTGGAAGAGGAGTATGAATAAATTTCTTTAGGAATGAGCAGATTTTTGAGCATGTGGGACCGTTTTGAAAACTGTTTTAGCTAGATTGGAATTATAGCAGTGAAAATGAAGTTGAATGAGTGAGACTGTTGATAGAGGGCTTAAAAGCTAGGCATCAGAATTTGCATTTAATCTGACAGGCCATTGAAAACCCACTATGAATTCTTCCCAGGGAAATGATGTGATGAAAATAGCATCTTTTGACAATTAATGTGACAGCAATGTATGAGATGAACTCAAGCATGGAGAACCCCAAAACTGAGCAGCTGTTAAAATATGATGATGAGTATAGGAATGTATAGAAGAAACGTAGACTTTGAGGTGCTACAAAGAATGAAGGAGACTTTATGGCTGATTGGATTAAGAGTATGTGGAGAAGGGAACTGTGAGAGAAGAGGGAAAAGATGAACTGAAATGCAAACAGTTTTTATGAGAGGAAATGTATGTTTTGTTTTTGATATCCTCTGGTGTTTCTGGGTTTTAGAATCTCTTAAGAGTGCCTGGTAGTTTAGAGATCTAACTAGAGGAAGGCCTATGGCTATGGCATAACTTTTATGATAGGAGAAGAGCCCAGGGCAAAGAGGCTTGGAAGTGCTTCCAGGAAGGGAGATGTAATTCAAGAAGCAGGGTGAGCAGAGGATTGGGAGGAGTCAGGAGAACCATGTTTTCCAATGTGTATCCCAGGAAAGACTGGTTGGATACACTGTTTAACAGGCATTTCTATGATTGCATATCTGCATAAAGGTGGAAAACTCCAACTTAAACAAAGTTAAATATACTTCTTGCTTTAGACCCTCTCAGGTTCTTTAATAAGTACTCTGTTATTTGTATCTACAGTTAAATTCTCTGTCTCCAACTTTAGATTCCTGTGTCCAATTTTCTATATGACATCTGAACTTGGATATCTATTAGGTGTCTAAATTAACTATTCAAAATGGAATTACTGGTCTTCCATACAAAACTTGTTTCCCCATTTCAGTTTATGGCAAATCCATCTTTTCATTTTAGTAAATGCCATGGTAAGAAGAAATACAAAGTTGCATTTAGTGCATAAAATGCCCCAAAGAATTGAGATTAAAAATAAAGTTGCTCAGATCAAAAACTTTGGAGTTGAACTTGACTCCTTTCTTTCTCATATGCTCCCGTCTAAATCCATTGAGTCTCCCTTCAAAGATATACAGAATATGACCACTTCTTGTCTCTAGTGTTTCTACTAAAATCTTACCACTTCTGGGGTGAGCATGTAGTCTGGGGCTTAAGATGCTTTCATCTGACATTGAAGCACCTGTGTTCATTTCCTGGCTCCAGGTCCTGATTCCAGCTTCCTGGTTATGCGACTCTGGGAAGCAGTGGCAGTAGCACAGTAATTGGGTTCCTTCCACCCATGTAGGTGACCTATATTGGTTCTTAGCTTTTGGCCAAAGACCTGGCCCAAACCCAGGCATTTGGGGAGTGCCTCTGTCTCTGTCAATTAAAAAAGAAAAATCTTTTGTTTTCCTTAGCTTCCCATTTCACTCAGGACAAATGCATCGGTCTTCCCAGGGAGACTATGAAGTCTTTTATGGTCTGGTTTTTCATTGATTCTCTGACCAAATTTATTCTTTTCCTTCTTTGCTTTATGGTTCACATCTTTGTTCTTAAGACAGATCTTCAGTACTTCATTAGCTTAGTGCTTTGCACTTACTATTTCCTGGGCCTGTGACATTTTTCCCCCAGATAACTATATGTCTGAGTCCATTTCCTCCCTTAAGTCTTTGTTCAAATGCCAGCCTCTCTAAAAGAGTCTGACCCTGAGCATCATATTTAAAACAGAAAATGTGCCCTTCCTTCAATTTCTCATCTCCTTTATTCTGCCTTAATTTCTTACTTCCACAGTACTTACCACCTTCTAATTTATTGTATCTTATGTATCACTTAGTTTTTAAAATTTATTTTCTGCCTCTTCCTACTAGACTGTAAGTTCCACAAGTATAGAGATTTTTTTCTGTTTTGTTCACTCAGGTAGCCCAAGCACATACAACAGTGCCTAGATATACAATAGACACCTGGGAAAGAAGGGGCCATCAAAGAAGGAGGTACCTTTTTCTGAAGCAAGGAGAGAACTTCCGCTTTGATTATGGCCTTGCCTAAATAAAGTCAGAGTTTGTGAACTCAAGAGGCATCCATAGCTTTGGCAGCTCATGACAAGAGCCTTGGGTGATTACTTACATCATAAATAAGAATATCAATTGTTAAATCAACAACAGGAGTCACTGTGCACTCGCTCCCCATATAGGACCTCTGTCCTTAATGTGTTGTACTATGCAAATTAATGTTTAAACTAGTATTCAAACAGTACTTTATACTTTGTCTGTGTGGGTGCAATCTGTTGAAATCTTTACTTAGTATATACTAAGTTGATCTTCTGTATGTAAAGATAATTAAAAGTGAATCTTAATGACAAATGAGATGGGAGAGGGAGTAGGAGATGGGATGGTTTGCAGGTGGGAAAGTGGTTGGAGGGGGAAGCCACTATAATCCAAAAGTTATAATTTTGAAATTTACATTTATTAAATAAAATTTTTCTATTAAAAAATAGGCACCCGATACATATTTGTTAAAGGAATAAATGAATCTTCAAGATGGAAAAATGTGTTCCCAGGTATCTTTTTTTCCCCACCTGCAGGTCTCCTTTTCCTGGATTTTTCAGGCACACACTTTGTGAAATCCTGCTATATTGTAGAACTCAAAGAAGAAAATTCTAAGAAAGTTGTGATTGGCACAATTGGGAAGTTGCAGATTTCTGATTTGTTTAAAATAATGAATAAATTTTGATAGGAAAATACTTTACTGTCTTAGAGCAAGTTGTTCAGGTTCTGTGGGATGTCAAATTCAAGAGAGTAAAGTTGGACATAGATGTTGAAAACAAAAAACCAGAACAAATTACCTATTTAAGGAGTTTAATTTTGGAGAAAAAGTAAAATAAGTAGAAGGAGGTTGCAGGCTCAATACAACGTTCTTCATTTTTTTGAGATCAAGAACATTTGGTTTTGCTGTGTTATTTTTATAAGGTAAAAATATTAGTGTATTAGTTTTGTATCTGCATAGTAAAATACCTGAGGCTGAGTCACCATAAAAGAAAATTTATTTAGTCCAAAGACTCCCTGCTGAAATAGTCCTAGATTTTGCAAAGCATTACATGTCAAGAGACCAGTAATGCACATGATGTCTATGTTGCTTTCCCTCCCTCTTCTTAGAAAGTCACTGGAATTTAATCATGAGGTTTCCACCCTGCTAACCTTATCTAGTCTTAAGCACTTTCCAAAGGCTCTAGTTTTAGACGCCATATTCAGATTAATCCCTTACAAAGAGGATTAAATTTCAATACATGACTACTGGGGGGACATGTTCAAACCACATGTAAACCATAATATCTAGGGTACTATATTGACATAAATTTTATTTTTAAATTATGTGGTAATAAATTGGCAATCTAACGTACCCTACTTTTAAAAGTTGTGTGATTTGGTAGGTTCAGTGCTACATGGACATTGGATGAGTTAGGACCCTTAGGGAATCCTTTTATTACTTTTGTGCCTTCACTTTACCACCTGCTCTCTTCCATGCTTTCTGCAATTTTTCTTTTTTTAGGGATGAGAGGTGTGATGTAAACAGTAAAAATTGCTTGCTTGCTCCTGCTTTAGCACAAGCAGTCTGTTTTCATGTGTGAGTTTCTGGTCATTTCTATGCCTCCTGAAGAAAGTTCACCTAGGCTTTGTACTTGTCACTAGTACTTGGATTAGTGCTTCAAGAATTTTTGTACTAAAGTGAGACATAATTTGAACAATTTTTTGACAGTTTGACTCTTTTCCCTTGCAAGGTTTTATTCCATAGGAGGATTAATTTCTGTTTTGAATGTATGTTTGAATTTTTGGGTTATTTTTAGTTGCTATAGTGTGAATTCATCTGTTTCAGGATTGGTTCTCAAGGGAAAAACCAAGAGATGTTAGGCACCTAGTTTACTTATTAATCATGACATCTGAATGCTAAAGTGGTTAACAGTGAAGGCTGTGCCAAGGATTACTCTGCAGAGCCCTGTGCTTTTATTCCCATTGCTGTCTTTGGATGAATTACATTCATATTCTTGAAGAGTAATTGGTTTGAACTCCAATTCAGACCAACTGGAGGACTAACAGATATTCTTTTACTTTGGTTACAGAAGCTGCATACATATATAAGAGAAGCAGAAATGTCAGATGATATCAGGAAAAGGTTTGAATTTCCAAATTCTCTTATCCAATCACAGGTAATTTTTTAAAATTATTTTTGCTTCATGGTAACATGAGTCTCTTTGGCTTATAAATTAAACTACATTTTTAACACTAAATATTTTATTCTGGATATGGAGATTTATATTGTTTTATTAAAGAACTTACATATTTTTAATTTGACAATGTATATTTGATAAAGGAAAATAAATATTTGAAATGCATCAATCTCAGCTTCTACTTATATCATAACTTTCTTCCTAGAGGTAATAAAACCTTGATTAACTAGTAGGCCCTGAATGTATCTTTGTTTGTTTGTTTTTGCTTGATAATCAGTTATTGGGAGCAGGGGAAAATGAGTATACATTCAGAGTATGAGGGATTACATTTAAAAAGATATATTCTACCCCTTAGATTGTTTATAGTGATGTTCAATAAGTAAAGTATTCTGGATTTTTAAAAAATTTGATCTGTCTACTAAAGTAGAAGAAGAGGGCTGGCGCCGCGGCTCAATAGGCTAATCCTCCACGTTGTGGCGCCGGCACACCGGATTCTGTCCCGGTTGCCCCTCTTCCAGGCCAGCTCTCTGCTGTGGCCCAGGAGTGCAGTGGAGATGGCCCGAGTGCTTGGGCCCTGCACCCCATGGGAGACCAGGAGAAGCACCTGGCTCCTGCCATCGGATCAGCGTGCTGCTCAGGCCGCAGCGCGCTGGCCGTGGCGGCCATTGGAGGATGAACCAACGGCAAAAGGAAGACCTTTCTCTCTCTCTCTCACTGTCCACTCTGCCTGTCAAAAAAAATAAAAAATAAATAAATAAAAAATAAGAAGATTGTGATATTCTATTTTAGAGAACTGTTCCATAATTAAAACAAATGGTTGAAAAAAGATGGATTGTGGTTAACCTTTAGCTAACTAGAAGCACTCTGGTTAATCAAGGTACTACAACTTGTTGTCTTTTCTTGTGAAAATAAAATGAAGGAACTAGCAGATGCCAGCCTGAAGACAAATGACGAACGTCTGGAATACTTTCAGCAGTTAACTTCGGAGATGCCTGCTGTGGGAATTGACTTAGCTGGGTAGTGGGGAACCCTTCCATGAGGAGTAGAACACTCCTTGTGCAAGATTCCCTTCTACCTGACTGGGTTGGAGTCATATCCTACTCTGTGCGGCACAGGTCCTTACCGTGAAGAAGAAGATGAAAGCTTGGAGGCTACTGTCCACATTTTTATTTTTCTGTGCCTAGAGTCCCTTCATTAGCATAGCTAATCAAGAAATGCATATATGTAACTAATTAATTACATATAATGTAATTAAGTGAAACTTGTACATGTATTGTTTAGTATTGCCTATTTAAATTCTGTTATGTAAAACTTAAGTTGCCAATTAAGCTGATTTATCCTCAGGATTTGTAATTTTGAGTCATTTTAGGCTAAGAGCTGATTTGATAGAAGATGAATTAAAAATTAATTAGATTAATTGAATCTGGGGGGAGTGGAGGGATGTATGGCATTAAGCTTATTTTGTTCAATTCCTTTCCTAAATAGGAACTGTAGCTTTTTTTCATCTTCAGTGTGTTTCATATTGGTTTTATTAGGATCTTGTGATTGTGCCTGTCTCCTGTGGATACTTCTTATTATTCTATTGTAACCACTGCTCAGTGTTAGAACCATATTTCATTGATTCACACACATTTTTTCACATTTTAACATCTTGGAAATTGGATTGCATCTAGTAATTGATGGCAGCAATCCAGATATAGTTGGTGTTGCCTGTACATTTGTGAACTTGGCCATGATTTTCTAAATGAGTCTAAAAGAACTGTTTCATTAACATGGAATCAAAATTCTAAATTAAAAGAAGCATTGTATATCTCTAGTTGGCAGCCTTTTGTATTTTCTAGTTGCATATAAGAAAATGGTACTTCATATGATGCCCAGTTACTTGCAATGAAATATGGTGTATTTTGAAAACATGGCTCTAACCTATTCATTGGCCCTAATTTCTTGTTACTATTCCTTTTACTAGGAGGTAAGGCAATAAATAGAAGTAAACTCAATATTCATGTAAATGAGTGATTTGTATTGAAAAACTGATACCATCAAGTGCTGAGGTCTTAGATCAGTTTTACCGAGAATAGAGTGGCTGCTGTGTTTTATTTGAGTTTTTCTGGAGACTTTGCAAGACTGACAGCTATTCACAATATTTTTATATTTCAGTCTAAAGTGTAGGAAACACAGTAGTGAAGTTTTTTCTAGCCTGTACACAGAATGGCTGTGACTATTGCTGGCCTATTAAACTCACAGACAGTAGTGTTGGTGGTGCTAAAGATAGCGATAAGGCGTAGGGCAGTAGGAGGTAGTGATATTTATGTATTTATGTAATCAACACTCTTACAGGAGTCTTTAATTTTGGATATTTGACTAAAACATGATGTGGGGAAAATTTTAGAGATTTATGAGACTGAAAGCTTATTAAAGGTTTGCAACCAATGAGAAAAAGAAAAATGAAAATCACAGGGCATGGAGTGAGGACAGTGTTGATAGAGAGGAAATCTGTTGGCTCTGATCTGTATGGGCTTTAGTCATAAAAGCTGCAATGTGTTTCTTTCATCTTCATTAAGAGCATGATTAAGCATGATAGATTTCATTTAGTTGCAAAGATGATTTTAGAAACTTTTTGTCATTATTCCCATGGTTTAATGGATTAAGCAGTCTCCAATTATCTTTTAATACTAAATGACAGCAATTTGAACATAAATTCTTTAGCATTTATGAACTGTAGTTTACTTATTGGCTACCTGGGATAAAGTAATCTACCGCGAGGGTTATTTGAATATTGGAAATTATGTAAGTGGAACACCTATGGTATTGTCTTCTATTTAGTACACATTCAATGAATGGAAATTTTATTTTATTATTGTTTTACATATTCATGTAAACTAGAATTGACAAAAGTTATTTTCAAATTCTCCATTTGGAAAGAACGTCTAAGGGGATATGTTTATTAATTTCACTTGTTTTTTTAGGCTGTGGGTCATCTTATTGCTGCAGTCCTAAAAGAAAATGGTTTTACTGGAAAGATCCACCAATCCACAAACCAGGTCTGTATTTAACCGTGCTTTAATTCTATTCAGCTATTACTACTCATTGGATTGCCTATCCACTTGTCTTGCTCCCCTCCTTATTCAGGTCACCACTGAAATGACTTTGAAGGGGAAATTCATTGTCCTTTTTATTTATTTTATTTTTGGGTTTGGTATGTTTTTATTTTATAGTGTTATTCGAAGTTTTAAAATTTACTACAACACATGGGGGGGTGTTTAGCCTAGTTGCTCTCATCCTAAAATAGGAGTATCTGGGTTTAATTCCTGGCTCTGGATCCTGATTCAGCTTCCTTGTGATGCAGGATCCTGGGATAGGACACAGCAGTGATGACTCTAGCAATCAGGTTTCTGCCACTCATGTGGGAGACCAGGGTTGAGTTCCCCATTTCTGACTTCAGCTCTAGCCCAGACCTGGCTGTTGTAGGCAAATGGGTAGGCACTCTCTCAGTGTCTGTCTCTCTGTGTATGTTTTGCTGCTTGTTAAATAAATTAAATAAATAAAAAATTTATTACAGCAGACTATAGGAATGAGACATGGAGGGGTGAAGAAGAGTATTTTTAGGAATATTAATGAAAAATAACATGAGTGGAATGATGGAAGTCATGGTTTAAAGATGGTTGATAGGGTTACCTATCAGGGAATATTTTTGGTTAGGAGAGCAGATGAACATAGTAGCTCTGGTTATAGGAGATTTCTCATGATTCAGATCAGCTCCAGTTATGAATTCTCAGTTGGAAAGGTCATGCATTGACAGAATTGGAGGAATGATTCCATCTTGAGCACAGGGTGGGTGAGAGCTCAGAACTGAAGCAATTCCAGATGAGATGTACCACTTGGGTTTTCGTTGATCACTGTTGTGTGTTTTGACTCACTAGTTGGGTAACTGCTTAAGAGAGGAATTGTAAGTGCAATCCATAAAGAACATGTAATGGAAAGAAGATTCCCCACTCCCCCCTCCCCCTTACAAAAAATGGATTGATTTTATTTTTTCTAATATTCTTTGTGATTAACTGCTCTGTGTTGTACTCTTCATAGTTTCTGCTGGCAAGTAGAAGTAAGTGTAGGGGAATACTTCATTAATAGGCATTTATCTGGTGTTTGTATGTAGTCATATTAAATTGGATTTTCTGAGAACCTTAATCCTAATCCTGCATATAATCAATCATATTATGTACTTTGAGAAGATGTAGTGGTTTTACTTATAAACTGCCAGAATTTATTGAATGTAAAATCTCTATAAATGTTTCATCCTCTTCTAATAAATTAATGCTTGCCTCTGTGAAGATGCAGTATTACCTGAGGCAACATTTTGTTTTCATGTAGAGCCCTTTGCTATTGTCTGTATAGGTGAGTACAGTCTCCTGAATAAAAGGAGAAATGTAACATAACTGGTTCCCTCCTGCAGTGGCTATTAACTGTATTGTTATTTTAATATTCAGATCTCAAAAACCCTCAACCAGCTACCAAGGGAAGAGGGGCACAATATGATGTTGATTTCCATTCTGTTATGGTTATTTGGGAGCTGGGGAGCTTAACCACTCCTCCCCCCACCCCACCATACTTTTCCCTAGTAAATTGTGTCAGGATGAAGGAAAAATAGCTTCATTATATTTTCTTTTTTAAAATAAAAAATGACTGTGGTGTGTAAATCTAAATGGACTTAACCCACAGTACATTAAAATATAGGTTTATTTTTCTCAATGAACCTGCTTTTTTGGGGTCATGAGTTCTTGAGAAAGCTTTAAAGTCTAGAATCCCTGGTTCTTAAGTGTTTTACAAAATAAGAATTTGTATTCCTTTCCATTGCTTTTTCATTGAAGAAAATAGATTCACAGTATGAGCAGAAAAAAAAGTCATGCCTCTTTCTTGGGCACAACATTTTTTCTAAACTTTTCTTGATAGTCATGGAATGAATGCCGTGCTGTTGGTCTGTCCTACTCCTTGTCTTCTATCTGGGCCCACATTAGAATTTAACACGTTGTGATAGACACATCGCAGGTGGTGGGAGGTGCATGCAGGTGATAGATTGGTGATAGGAAAGCAGGAAGGTTTTCTGAAAATGTTATTGCCATTTAAAAGGTTTAAGCAGAGATGCTATTTGGAGTTCAATCTAGACTAATTGATATTCTGATATTATTGGTGCCTGGTTAAATTACTTGGTTACAACACCGTGTGAGAACCAACTCTAATTTTGTTGTGTCACCTGAACTCATACCTCTGCCTGCAGCCAGCCTTATTTTGTAGCCAACATGCCCTGTGTCAAAAAGTTGCTGTATCAAAATACATTCCTTCCCTCTCTTGGAAAATTGACTTTAGTTTATTCCAAGAACAGAGTGACAACAGCATCATCATCTTTGTAAAGGAAAGCCAGCCTACTGTGAACAAATAAATACACATTGATGAATTGCAAAGGGTGTGTGTGTATGTGTTTACGGCTTCTCAGAAGTGTCTATTAATTACTGGTTTGATTTCAGACTCCTGCCTTGAACTTACTGTGGGAGAAGTGTTGCAGTGAGAATGTAGTGGTTCGAACAGCCTGCTGTGAAGGTCTGGTAGCGCTTGTCGCTCAGGATCATGCAGAGTTCAGCTATGTTCTCAATGGGATACTCAACCTGATTCCATCAACCAGGTACTCTTGCTTTCATGTTTGATCAGTTAGCAATTAAGGCTTTATGAAAAAAATTGATTCCCTAAACTTCACTGGTTCTCTATTGAAGGTCAACATTCACCTCAATTGCTAGTTGTTTTTCTTTCCCTTAAAATGTTGTGGCAAAATGCTGCTAATTTAAGTTTTGGAATTTTTGGTCATTTGCAGTACTTAGGAGCTCCACTTAAATTTGTCATTTTTAAATGAAGAAAATAGCTTAGTAGTTTAAAATTCAAAGTTGCAAGTAAATTTTTGTCTTATTTTAGGAAGGTTGTCTATAAGCACGACTACTTCCAAAGTGATATAATTTGTGCACTAGAATAGCGGTACCTAGCCCTTGTCATTAGTGTGTATATGAGACAATAATTGTACTCCTTTCTTTAAACAGTGGTTTGTGATTTAGCAATGTCTTCTCCCTGGTTATTCCAAGTTAATAATCTCTTATTTTTTAAATTTTTTTGGTATGGCTATATTTAGTTTGTTCACAGACTGAGGGTAATATAATCACAAGGAATCAAATGGACCTATTCATTCCAAGATGCTCAAACAGGATGCTATTTGAACCAGTTAACAACTGTTGAAAAGTACTCCTAGAGAATGAGATACTCTTTGTTTCAACAATTGTTCTTGACCTATGTGTCCTCATTTTTGCCAAGTCTAAATAATTTGGCCTGTACTCCAATCCCCACTTTTCATCTAGTCTCTCTCCTCTTCTGTAGTGTTCTTCTTCCGAGATTTTATTTTATTTTATTTTTAAAAATTTATTTGAAGGCTGGTGATGTGGCGTAGCAGTTAAAGCCACTGCCTGCAGTGCCAACTGCTCCACTTCCTGTCCAGCTCTCTGCTATGGCCTGGGAAAGCAGTAGAAAATGGCCCAAGTCCTTGGGCCCCAGCACCCACGCGGGAGACCTAGAAGAAGCTCCTGGTTCCTGGCTTTGTATCGGCCCAGTTCCAGCCATTGCGGCCATCGGGGCAGTGAACCATCAGATGGAAGACCTCTCTCTCTGCCTCTCTTCTCTGTAACTCTGACTCTCAAATAAATAAATAAATCTTAAAAAAATTGAAAGGCAGAGTTACAGCTAGAGAAGGAGGGAGTGAGGGAGAGAGAGAGAGAGAGAGAGAGAGAGAGAGAGAGAGAGACAGGCCTTCCATCTGCTGGTTCACACCCATAATGGCCACAATGGCTGGGGCTGGGACAGGCCAATGCCAGGGGCCAGGAGCTTCTTCTGGGTCTCACACATGGATGGCAGGGACCCAAAGACTTGGGCCATCCTCTGCTGTTTTCCCAGGTGCGTTAGCAGGGGGCTGTATAGGAAGCGGAGCAGCTGTCCTAAAAAAATTATCTTAAAACTCATTCCTTAAAAAAAAAAAGCCTTACAATTATGTCTGCATAATTTCTTTATATGATTGAGCTTTAATTACCAATTCTTTATTGTTTCTCATCTTTTGCAGTAATAATAAATATTCAGTAAATAACTTTATATATATGGGTAACCATTCATTTTCAATGTTTTTTAAACATATGGCCATGATACAGAAGAATGCCTTGGTTTTAAGCAAATATAGGAATTTTACCGTGGATACTGGAAATATTTTAAAAATCTTCTTACAGAAATTTCATGTTGTCTAAACTAGTAGCTACTGGAGGTTGAAGACAGCATAGCTAACCACTTAAAAAATTTTTTTTTTTTAATTTATTTGACAGATAGAGTTAGATAGTGAGAGAGAAACAGAGAGAAAGGTCTTCCTTCAGTTGGTTCACCTCCCAGATGACCGCTGCGGCCAGCGTTGTGCTGATCCCAAGCCAGGAGCTAGGTGCTTCTTCCTGGTCTCTCGTGTAGGTGCAGGGGCCCAAGTACTTGGGCCATCCTCCACTGCCTTCCTGGACACAGCAGAGAGCTTAACCATTTAAATTTAACTAAATTTAAAAAATTCATTTGAAAGGATGACACACACACACACATGCACACACACACACAGAGAATCTTCCTTTTGCTGGTTTGTCCCCAAATGCTCCCACCAGCCATGGCTGAACCAAGCCAAAGCCAGCAGCAGGAATTCCTTCTGGGTCTCTCACATGGGCAGCAGATACCCAAGTATTTGAGCCACCCAGAGTGAACATTAGTAAAAAACAGGATTGAAAATGAAATGGGGCCTCAAACCTAGACACTGCTGTATGGAATGTGTGCTTCCTAAACAGTGGCTTGCACCAACACCAGCTCTCATTTTAATTTTTGAATCCATTTTATTATAAAACGTGTTATATAAGTGCTAAATTGTATTTATTGTTGTCAGTAAAGGGAATAATTATTTGTATGTCAGAAAAATTTTTTTTCGTTTGCTTTATTTCAAGTAGCAGAGCTTTGTGGTTTTTAGCAATTACAAAGATTATATTTTGTACTGTTTTTCAAAAAAGCAAAATGAGAATCAAATTTAAGAAACAAGCTAATTAAATCCAGAAGATCCAAGCAGCCTCCTCTTCCAAATGCTGCTTAGAGAATTATCTTAGACTTAGACAGAAACCCATCTCTATCTTGGCAAGAATGACTTAGTTTGAGGCACTTTGGGTCTCCTTTTTCCAGTATTTAAGTTTCGATGTGTCTCTGGACATCTTAAAAGAGAGGCTTATTGGTGTCTAGGAGGAGTATCTGGGGAACAGAGCCATACCATGACTGCTTACCTTTGATTTAGAAAAATAATTATAAAACTTTTTAACTTTCCATTATGCTTATCTTCTAGCTGCATATCCTTTAGGTATTTAGGAGGGAACTGGTGGGGGAGGTGAGTGGGGAGAAAAGTCCAACAGTGAAAAAGCAGCCTAGACTTATATAGAATAGATATTTAGAGAGATTGTAGCTTGTGGAACTCCCTCAGCATTGCAGATTTTGAACACTTCAAAGAAAGACAAAGTGGAAAGCAAGAGAGGCCTTTTCTTCTAGACACATCAGCTGGTCTCTGGCCCATTGCAGGTCTGGTCTATAAACTTGCCTTGAATAAGCATAGAAGCATTCCTTCCACCTGAAACCCAGCTCACAATTTAACTGAGTTGGTTTAGAGCCTGCTACATTGTATAGTCTAACTTTGAAAAACTCTTGACATTTGTAGTGCTCTGGTTGTCTAAACTGCGGGGAGTGGCTGGGAAAGTGTCTGGCTCTGTTTGAGTGACTGGTCTCTTCAAAGGCATAGTTTGATGTCCTAGAGTGTTCTTGGTTCAAAGCTGAGGCAACATGAAACAATTGCAAACTAGTTTTTATAGCTTCTGTAAACAAAGAAACGGATTTAAGGCCTCTAAAATGTTCTTTTAATCAGTAAAAGAAATTTGAAAAAAAAAAATGAAAAAAAAAAAAAACAAAACAAAGCACACAACTTTTTTCTCTAGGGAGGTTGAAGGCAAGAAAGGGACCACAAAGGAAACAGTAAGGAAATCATTATCACTAGTTAAATGTGAATTTTGAAACTAACCAAATCTGAAATTAAAATGAATGATCTATAGTAGCATATACTTTTCTTGTCCTTTGAGTAATTGCCTTTTTTGAGTTTAGATTGTTTTGGTTTGGATTGCTTTGTTTTTACATTGAATTTATTGTGAGGGAAAAGATTCCCAGAGCAATGAGTTTCCTATTTTTCCTCTCTTTAGATTTTTTTATCCTCTTTAACTGCCCTAGCTTCTAGAAAGTGCATAGAAAGTGCACACAGCCATTGTTACAGTTGCTTAGTAACGGGATCATGAATAAAAATCTTACTCTCCGGTAGAACCAGGTGTTCAGTGTGCAATATTGAGGTGTCATGACAGCCTGTAATTTCAGCTCAACTGCTTTCCCTAACCCCCTTCTTTTAAAAAATGTGTTTGGTAGGAAGGTTATGCTGTAGATAAACTGTGCTAGCACTTGATTTGTGTGACTTTTATGCTTCTTAACAGGGAAGGGCTCTGCAATTGTTGTATTTTTGGAATATAAAGTATACTGAATGTGGGTAATCGACATACATTTTCTGAGATTCCTAAAGTCTACTGTTTAGTGAAATCTTGCATAGGGTATTAAAATTCCAGTAGTAGATCTTGACTAAAGCTGTTGAATTCAGAAAGTCTTTGATTATGGATTGATGAAGGTCCAATGGCTAAAAAAGTGTTTCTGAGAACTATTTGGAGTTAAGATTTAGGATAATTTACTGAGAAGACTCTTATCTAAGGCTCTTCTCTTTCACTGATTGTCTTGTTCTTTGGGAAACTTAATTGCTTTGTTTATCATGCAGGAAATGGCTACCAACTGAGGAGACACTCTATTCATATTTTGTTGTATTATTGAAGCTGCTTTGTGCTGTTTAGCTTCTTTCTCTTTATTTTATTTGGCAGGAGAAGAATCAAGGAAGGGTGCCTCTGTGAGCTTTCTTCCAAGGCTTAGGGGAAATAGCATGCTTTAATCTGCAGCTGGGGTGTTAAGAATATTACTTCATGAAATTGGAGATGGTTTCTGGGTCTGTGTATATATATATAGGAGGGTATTTAGAAAAGTAAGTGGGAAAATGGAATTAAAAGATATTACTTTAGTGCAAAGAATTTTTAAATCCATGCATAGTTTTTTCATAATATGCATTCTCCATCAACTCTCTGAAATCACCTGTATTGATATAATTGACAGAATTACTAGGTCATGCCTGTTTCCCTATCTCATCCTTTTAAATTTTCCCTTTAGAACATCTGTTTCCAAATCTTCTGTATCCTTGTTTTCTCCTCAGTCCTTTTTCTTTCTCTAAAATGCCAGTCTCTTTTTTTTTTTTGACAGGCAGAGTGGACAGTGAGAGAGAGAGACAGAGAGAAAGGTCTTCCTTTTGCCGTTGGTTCACCCTCCAATGGCCGCCGCGGCTGGCGCGCTGCGGCCGGCGCACCGCGCTGATCCGATGGCAGGAGCCAGGAGCCAGGTGCTTTTCCTGGTCTCCCATGGGGTGCAGGGCCCAAGCACTTGGGCCATCCTCCACTGCACTCC